ATATAAGAAATTAGTGGAATTTACCCTATACTAACCTATAATTAATATAGCACCATTTATAGCCACTATTTATAGTGCTATATAGTCAATAAGTTATTATAATTAATTGTTATGGCTATTATAGCTATTAAAACCTATTAGAATCCAGTAAAACGTTCCACTAAATCCAGCCCCACTAAATATAGCCAGTGCACCTGGCTATAGTGGCCCTAGGTTACAGGGTAACCCATATTATAAAAATCCATAAATTTTAATGGTTTCTTTGATTATAAATTAATTTTATTACTAATTAACTTGATTATAAATCTAATTTATTAGTAATATATTCTAGAATGTTTTTATTGGTTGACTTTATAGGTATAAAAGGTAGTTATTCCTCCGTAGTTAGTTATTCTTTCTTTAAGCTTTAATAAATCAGTTATACAGCCTTATAATTACTTTTACGGCCTGATTTTACGAATTATATAAACGCTTCCCTGTGCCTAAGTTTATGATCTACCAATTATACCTTAGAACATTTAAGAAACGCGATAAAAAAGCTGCAAATAAATAAAATTCTAATTTTACGCAATTAATATAATTATTTATATAGTTAAACGTAATTATGCGATTAAGCGTAAATAAGGGCAATTACCGTGGGCGCGGTACGGGTTGTGGCCGGGGCCGGGGAAGCGCGTTTATAGGCGTATTCCGGGGCTTTTAGCAGTTATTATTAATTATAATAAATAATAATTCCTTTTATTAGTTTAAAGGCGCTAGAATTATAGAATTTTTTAATTAGGATAAAAATTAAAAAAAATAAAAAATAGCTTATAATTATTATACGCGGGTCGCTTTCGGCGTAATTAAATAATTATAAGCTATGCTTAATAATAAACGTTATAAATTTATTAAATAATACGATTCGTATATATAAAATAAAACGAATTATTATAATTTTTTTATTTTAATAATTATTTAATCGCTAAATTTGCGTAAACGATAGCTATTAAATATAAGCGCTAATATTTATATTACGAATAATAAAGCTGATTTTATCGCTAAATTAGTTATTAAATTAAATAAATATAATCGGTTATTTATTATAATTAGGAACGGTATAATATATTTAATAAAATACGGTTAAATATTAACCGTATAGCGTGGTTTTAAAGGCGAGCGCTAGGAATTAACGCTTAAAAAGTGTTATTACGTTAAAGATTTCCTATTAAAAGTAATTTTTAATAATAAGCTATATAAGGCTAAATTTAAAATTTATAGTAATTTTATTAAAACGCTTGATAATAAGGTATTAATTATTATTAATATAATTAAGAAAAAGTGGTTTTTATAGCTATATAGGCAAAAGGAACCATTTTATATATAAGCTTTAATAGCATTAAACGGATTAATAAAGCCGTTAATTAAATAGATAATTTTATAGTATCGTCGATTAGGCTATTTAAATAAAAAACGTTTAATTAAAACGATTAAGGCCATTAAAGGCATTAATTTAAATTTAAATAATATTTTTATATTAATATATAATGCGTATAATAAAACTAAAAATATTCGGATTAATTTAATAAATCTAATGCGTATTCGCGTAAATTTCGCGGCGATTTTATTATAGGCTAATATTAGGGAAATTAAACCTATTAATTTAAATAATAATCGTTATTTTATATTAATTAAATACCGCAAAATTATAAAATTATATTTTATTAATACTTTATTTAAAAGGTTTTTATAAAGCGATTTTTTTAGGTATATAATTAGGCTATAATATAAATTAAGGAAACGAAGGCGCCGAATTAAAATAATTCGCATTAACGGAATTAGTAATTTTAACGGCGGTTTTTTTAATAATTACGTAAAATAAAAAGGTATTAAATTAATTACGTTAATACCGAATAACTAATATTAAAACGGCTTTGCTAAGCGCGCGATTAATATATTATAAAATAGCGTATACGCTATTTATATTTAAATAAATATTTTTATAATATTTTAAAATAAAATTTATAAGGCATAAGTTATCGTTTTAAACCGTATAATATTTATTAAAAAGGAATTAGTTATTTTTTAATAACGCTAAAAAAATAACTTTTAGCTATAAAATGCATTTAATCGCTTATTAATTAGGTATTTTAAGATTTTTGGATCGCGTATTTTTATATATATTTTAAAGGAAAATAAGGTATAAGCTAAGAAATTATAGGTAAGGGCGCTAAAGGGTATGCTTATAGGTTATTTTAGGGAATATTTATACGAAGTATATATATTAAATATAGTACGCTTTATTATAATTTTTTACGTTATATTTTATAAAAATTTTAATAAAAGCGCTAATTAGCCCGATCCGTTAAAAGTAATTAAATTATTCCCGTAATACGTTTAAAATAGGCTGCGATATAGGATTTTAAAGTTAATTTATTATATAAAGCCTTATAATCCGAATATAATTAAGGAATAAGGATAAAAGGCGCGGCGATTTAAAGCCGGCTTTTTTTAAATATATATAGCTATACGGTAAAGTATAGCTAAGTATGTTATAATATATATAAATAGTATTTATAATTATGCTATAATATATTAAGGCTTAAATAGGTATATTTACGTATATATAAATATAATTATAAAAGATAATTATTACGTTTTAATTAATTTACGGGATTATAATTAGGACGATAAAAAAAATCCGAGCTTTAAAGGCGCGTTATTAATTGCGCTAAATAAGGGTTTATATAATTATTTATTATTAGTTAATAGTAATTTATTCGAATAAGTATAGGATAAATATTTAATACTGGTTATTAAGTATAATTTTAATTTATTATTAATTAATTAGGCAAGGAATATATAAAAATGGCCTAATTAGTAATAAGTTATAGCAAAAAAAATTATTAAGCTATTTAAAAAAGGAATATTCGGATTTTTTAATTATAGTAAATTTAAATTAAAATAAAAGCTATTAATTAGATTTAAATAGGTATATAAAATTAAATATAGTTTTACCGGTAATATAAATAAATAAAAGGCACGCTTTATAGCTTAAGGCTTTATTTAAATTTTCGGAATTAATTATAAGGAAATTTTTGCTAATATAGCTAAGTAAATAAGCATCCGCGTTTTAATCGCGATGGCTATAATTAAAGGTTAGAAAATTTTTTAAATCGATTTTATTATAGCCTATTTATTAGGCCGGCTTAATAAAAAGATTTATATACGCTAATTTTTATATTTAAATAAATTTATATTTTAATATTTTAATATTATATAATAATATAATTATATTTTTAATAATATAATTAAGCTATTATGCTTTTTATATAGCTTAAAGCAAAGTGGCTTCGAATAATAATAAAAAATTAGGGAGGAATTAAAAAAATTGGGCTTTATAGGATTAAAAACCGATAATGCTATTTATTAAAATAAAGCTAATAAGACGGTATTAACCTTTTATATAGACGATTTTATAATTATATATATAAATATTAAAGCTATCGAGAAATTGGTTTAATAATTAAATAAATAGCTAGAATTATAATATTTAAGTGCCGCTAAATGGTATTTAAGAATACGTATTATTTAAAAAAAATAATAATATTATATTATTATAAAATAGGTATTTAAATTAAATATTCGAAAAATTTAAATATTAAAATATTAAAAGTATTATTATTTTTATTAATTTAGGATTAATAATAATAATTTATAAATTTAAAGGCTATATTAATTAGGAATTTAAAAATTAATATTTTAAAAAGCTTAGGAAAACGAATTACGCTATAATTAAATTACGCGCAAATATAATATACGCTAATAAGGTATAAATTCGTTTTATAAATAACCCGTTTTTTAATTATATTAAATATTTAAATAAGGTGTTATAGTATTTTTAAAGCACCCGTATAAGGGGGATAAAATATACCCGATTTTATTATTATATTAAATATAAAGAATTAGGATTATATATTTACGTTAACGCTAATTTTGCAGGCGATAAATTAACTTTTAAATTTACGTTTAAATAAATAACGTTTATAATAAGCTCCCTAATAAGCTAGAGTTTAAAGCTATAAAGCGTAATTATTTAATTTATTATAAAAGCTAAATATTACGCTATTAATAAAAGCGTTTATAAAGCCGTATTTATTAAGAATTTATTAGAGGAATTAAAAATAATATTTTAAAAAGCGATTTTTTTATTAATTAATAATATAAGCGTAAAAGCGTAAGTAAAGGCTTAAATTAGCATATTTACGAAAAAGCACGTTAAAAGGTATTTTTATTATATTTAATAAAAAGTTTTTATTAAAAATATTTTAATTAAAAGAGTTATATTTACGGAAAACGCCGCTAATAAGCTTATAAAAGCGATACGACCTAAGGATTTTAAATATTTCGTATATTTATTAGGTATAATAAATTATAATTTAATTATAAATATAGTTATTATTATTTAATTGCAAATTATATTATAAATTATCGTAATAAGGCTTATCCTTTTATTTCGATTAAATCGCTCGTTATAAAAGGCGTATAAAAAGTTAATTTTAACTAAAATAATGGGTATAACTCTCGTTTTAACGGATAAAAGCATCAGACCCCGGGACCTCCGGCTTAACGGCTATTTCCGGTGGGCTGTGGGAGGCAATTAGGTCTTGTGCATTTTATTTAACTAAACCCATATAGCCAGATCCGTTCATTTGTACTGAATACACTAAGTCCCCATCAATTTCCCACACAAGGTCCCCGCGCTAAGCAGATAAGATAACCGTCCAGCTAGTCGCGGTCGTAGCGCGTGGAGGTGCGTATCCAAGCCAAGGCGGCTCTGCTAAGCACAGGTACCTAGTGCCACCTGCGCAGGCTGCTGGCTGGTCCAGACGCCCATTGACAGTGTTTTCCTTAGGCTGGTCACTGTCAAGGCTGTAGCTCTGCCTACCTAGCAAATTTCCCGGACTCAAGCTTCGATGCGCCAGAAGTAATTACACATCAACGCATCGAATCTTTCTATCATGTTGTGCGCATGTGAGTACTCTTTGACGGTTGCAACATCAATTGAACCTTACTGACGCGTTTGCAGTGTCTGGCGAAGCTCCCCAGGAGCCTGTTGTCTCGAAGCTTTCAGGTATGCATCCCAAGCTTGTACGAAGATGGCCATGTTGAAACTTACCAGCTGAACAGGAAGCGTTTTCGAGAAGCGACTGATTGAGAAGTACATTGAGGAAAATGGAAAGGACCCTGTGACTGGCCAGGATCTCACCCTCGATGATCTCCTGCCCATCAAGACTGCGCGCGTCGTTCGACCTCGACCCCCGACTCTCACCTCCATACCCGCTCTTCTCTCTACCTTCCAAAACGAATGGGATGCATTGGCGCTAGAGACATTCAATATCCGGGAGCAATTGACGCGAACGAGAGAGGAACTCGCCACTGCGCTGTACCAGCACGATGCCGCCGTCAGAGTCATTGCTCGATTGACACAGGAGAGGGACGAGGCACGAGATGCCTTGTCAAAGGTTACCGTTTCTGGAACAGGCGCAAGCAATGGCGATGCCATGGCTGTCGACGCCGAGGCACTGCCAGTAGAGTTGGTAGCCAAGGTTGAAGAGACCCAGGCCAAGCTTTCCAAGAGCCGCAAGAAGCGCCCTGTACCCGAGGGCTGGGCCACCACCGAGGATGTTTCGTCGTTTGCCGTCACAACTGAGAACTCGTCGGAAATCGAACAACCCACAGCCCTTTCGGTGGAGGAAGACTATGCTGCTATCGGAGGCCCGGGCGGCAACGTGGCTATCTATTCGATCGAGGCAGACAAGGTGGAAAGATCATTAGCAGTCGGCGAACCAGTGACAGATTCTATTTGGAAGGGCTCCAGAGTCGTCTTCGCGACAGCAAAGGGCTCGGTCAAGGTGTACGAGAACGGCAGCGAGGTGGTGTCCTTCTCTGACCATGCTGGTCCTGCCACAGGCCTGGCAATGCACCCATCGGGCGAAATCCTGGCATCCGTTGGCTCGGATAAGAGCTTTGTCTTTTATGATCTGGTGGGATTGAAGCGTGCGACTCGCGTCTTCACCAACTCATGTATGTGTTCTCGATTCCATTGTAAGATATATCATCTGGCTAACAGCTCGCTTTTTAGCACTCACCACGTGTGCCTTCCACCCTGATGGTCACCTTTTTGCAGTGGGTACCGTTGCCGGAGATATCACATTTTTCATGACGGCTACTGGCGAGCAAGCAACTTCTTTCTCGCTGGGCGCCCCTGTGCAAAGCATAGTGTTCTCGGAGAACGGCTTCTGGTTTGCCGCCACTGCCAAGGGCCAAACAACAGTCACAATCTTTGATATTCGGAAAGAGGGTGATGCTGCGAAGGTCAAGGTGTTGGAGGTTGGAGGCACTGTACAGGATCTGGCTTGGGATTACAGCCAACAATTCCTGGCCACGGCTGGCCCTGCTGGAATTACGGTGCAGCAGTACACCAAGAGCAGCAAGAAGTGGACGGAGCTGGCCAGGAAAGACTTTGCTGCTACGCAGGTCGCATGGGGCCGAGACGCAAAGCAGCTGATCGCCGTTGGACAGGACGGCCGCATCGGAGTTCTGGCAGCAGTGGCCGAATAGAAGAATACCTTGAGAGGGTTCATTCAGGGATTTGGAATATATTGTGCATATTTCGCACAGAAGTATGATTAGAATGGTACAGTACAAAATGGGAGGGCCGAATGAGGAATAAGCGTTTGTGTGACAAGTACCTTTACAAAATCTAGGTGCTAATGCTGTATCTACTGTGTATTACGATGTTTTTGCAGGGGCATTGAATGGCTGATTTTGAAAATACTGGGTTGGATGTGAGTATGCATTCTTCTATCCACGGCCGACAAGCAAACCACTCATGAGGCCGAGTCTTGGAGGCAGCGGCTGTGAGATGAGCTCAATGGCACAGCTGCTTATATGACTCTTCAGTATGCAAGTTGACGTGTCGTGGTGTCGTAGTTGAATGTCGAGGCTATTCCAACAGTGATTGAGCAAAGTGTAGGGACATGTACAGCTGCAGAATACCTGGATAGAAATTGCAATAAATATCAAAAGGTTTGAACACGTTCGGTCGAAAAGAAGAATTGCACAGACGCGCAGGGGTTCGAGGGGGAAAGACAATTGGCTTGCATTGGTTCATACTGTACAGAGTACGTCTAGCATGTGCACATTAGCGGATAGGTAGCGGGGGAGAAGAGATGGTCAAGGTACTGTGAACCTCTGATCGGTAAATGCTAACAGGTGTATTCCGTTGCGTCCTACCTGGATATGGACCTTGATGCAAGTTGGAGCTCGTCATCCCACCATCACGCCTGGGCGGCGGCGCAACCTTTTTGGGGCAAAAAGAAAAAAGCAACCAAACGCCGTGTGCAGCTTACGGAATACACTTGGGCGGGCGGCAAGAGACAAAGTCGGTTGCTTTGCACCTTCTCCCTCCCAGCTATCCGTGAGGCAAACAACAAACGGCGGAAAGCAACGAGTCAACAATTTCTGTCATTTGGTCCCCGCGGCGCTCTCTAGCCTAGCTTGAGCTCACTCACAATCAACATAATTCTGCAACACTTCACATCACCAGTCGGCACATTGGACGTGGCTCCGTGCTCGAGTCGGCGTTCCTTATCTCGACGACGACTGCTACAACGATACGCCCGTGCAGCAAAAGACAAGCAGCCAATGCAAAGCCTCTGAAGCAATGCTGCGCTCTTCTCCGAGTTAAGTTTTTTTTTTTTTTATCGCTTTCTTCCAATGGGTTTCAAGTGCTGGAATATTTTGGCATTCGTGGCGAGATTTGCTACTTGATTGGCATTGGCGTCGAGGCCGAGCGTGGATCGTGTCATGCTATTGCTCGCCAGTAGTGCGAATGCGAACATGCAAGCCCGCTACAGCCTTGCAAGTTTCCTGAGAGCCTATGGGAAGAGGCAAGAAAAAGAAACAAAGCAATTACTACTCATGTTTTACCTCTAACCATGTTTTCCTCAGGCATGTTGCTAATTTGACCTTTGACTCAGCAGAGTGCCCAACCAAATACACACCTCGACATTTATAAGGACTTTGCCGCCGCACGGTCTAGGTAGCTGCGGCGTTACGTTATGGACTTTTACTACAACATAGTCTCCTCGTCCCCCGCGGCTGGTTACGACGGTCCCGATTTCGTGGCCGCCAACGACGATTCGAATTACGAATCAGACACACACACATACCAAGAAACTCTAATCAGTATCCCTGACAGCACCCAGAGTGAAGAAGAATCCGAGGGTGGACTTTTTGTTGAGCAGGAGCGCAGCATTTCGCCGGCCTCTGCTATCACTGTCGCTTCCCTCTCCGCCTCCGCCTCCACCTCTGAGCAAGAAGATAGCTCCAGCGAGATTAGCTCCTCGTCGCCAGCATCAGAATCATCTTCGGAAGCAGAATCAGACCGCGATTACTTTTTCGACAACGAGAGGGCAGACGTTGACTGGGAGCAGGCGTTGGAGAGAGAGCTAGAAGCACAGCCTGATGACCACAGTATCGGCGGCGATAGCGAAGGAACAGTACACCAGCCAGACCCGGATGCACTGCATCCACGTCTCAACGAGCATAGACACCCGTTCCTCCTTGAAGAAGACCTCCACGGGCAACCAGGCCGAATCGAAGTAGAAGATTACGACGTTGACGAAAACGAAGACGAAGACGACCTTGATGCTTTCGAGGAAGGCTTGGTGGACCTGGCAGTAGTGAGACTTCACGTCGAAGAGGAAGAGGAAGGCGACGGCGGCGACGACGACGACGACGAGGTCGACAATCTTCAAGCGGAGGCCCGGAACAGCTTTGCGCAACAATTCCCGCATCACCACCACCATCACCGCCATCATCACCACCATCATCACCACCATTTGCATCATCACCACGCCCAGCAGCGCCCCTCGACTCTCCGCTTCTCGAGTCTCCTAGACGTACGAAATCTAGGCCCACGAAGTGCATCACCTGCACAGTTGGAATCCCCCCATCGAATGCCTGGAATGGCGGACGAATTAATAGGCGTTGAGCTGGGGGGCGGAGGCGGTATGGGTCGAAACTCGCGGGCTCGCGCATCCCAAAACCAACCGCGCAGGGCAGAGCCAAATGTGATAGACCTGACGCTGGAGGATGATGACGAGTTAGAGCTGCTTGGGGAATCTGTTGGAGAATCGCAAAATGCCAGGCGGCAACAATCTCAGCGCCGGAGCAATGCCCCCCGTCTGAATCGAAGCGATGGAAGTTACGTCGGAAACCAAAATGTCATTGAGTTAAGTTCCGACGATGAAAATGACAATACCGTAGCTGCCACTCGTGCCCGACGTGCACCACCTGCACATTTACACCACAACAACCATCAAAATCGAAACCGACACCAGCACCAACACCAACACCAGCACAACAACTTCCACCGAATCAACATTGGTGCAATACCAGCAATGGCGGCTAGGAACCACAACGAGCGTTTTGCCCAATTCTTGATGGGAATCGGTGGAGATGTCAACAATGCTGCCAACGATCATAATGTCTTGGGGATGAATGTGCGTCCTCCAGGCTTTCCACCTAATCTACACCTCGATTACCAAGCGGTTGCCTTTGCTGCCCAGCCGCGACCGGCCCCTCAACCTGCCGCTGGGCCTAGAAAGCCTGATCATGATCCGCCCTCCAAGCCGAGAGATGGCTTCACACGCGACACTAATGAGGACAATGTGGTCATCTGTCCTAGCTGCGACGAAGAGCTTGCATTCGACCCCGATGGTGGTGATGAGAATGGACCGCCCACGAAGCGAGCCAGAAACAAGAAAGACCAGGCAGAGCATCACTTCTGGGCCATCAAGGAATGTGGTCATGTAAGTTGGACTTTTTTTCGAGGCCCATGTGCGTCCGAGTGCCTGCAAGGTCATTTTTGCTAACTCGTTTCCCTTAGGTCTTTTGCAGGCGATGCTATGAGAACCGCAAGCCGACTGCGAAGAACCCAGTCAAGGTCGGTTTCAAGGCCTGCCCTAGCAATGGCAAAAGAATCATTTGTGCCGTCGACAACTGCACCTCTGACGTTACTACCAAGACTTCTTGGGTTGGACTATTTTTGTAATCATTCCGGTTTCACCCACTGTGTCAGATTCCCCATCTCCCTTCCACATCTGCGGATTGGAAGCAGAGATACTTGTTCCACACGACTTCACGATACATACCCCTTCTGCATTCACAGGCGTTGTCATTGGCAAATATACATAAGCGTAGATTATCACACTTGCATGGCACCGGCGTGATGGCATTTGAGACGGCCATTAAGGAGTTCGGATTCTGGCACACTCAAACTGCATTGCTTCGGCGTTTTCTTTTAGGGCAGAGATTCAAGAATGGTATATAGCTGGCCTGATTTCATGCACCTGCAGCGTGTTAGTAGTAAGCAGATGCCTTCTAAATAGTTCAGGTGCCTGTGCTCAGCTCTTTTTCTTCGCCCCTGACTACTGTGACTGAGTGGGTAATGCTCCCTGCCTGTGCAGATATTTCCTACTTCAAATTTGCTTCCATTGCAGCACTTCTGTGTCGTGACACATAGGGCAAGTACCAGCTAAGACCATTTATCACCTCATCCTTACTTGAATGGTATTGTCACCTAACAAGACATGCCATGTTTAACAAACTTGGTTATTCAAATCGACTTGACAGCACCACACAGAGAGCATTTTGTGCTTGCTTTCTGATCACAACAACATCCGAAGCATGTTTTGCGGGACCCCTATTGCCAGCCACAAATGAAGGGACTATTTCGAAGGGTTTTACTTCTTTTTTTTTTTTTTTTTTTGGCTGTGTAGATCCACCGCGGCCAGCAGAGCTTCACCAGCTGTGTTGCATTGCACCTTGGGCAGTATCCGACAGGGCCTATCAAGAAGGGCAAAAGGAAATCTGAAGGTAGTGATGGCTAACAATGTGCAATATACGACTATGTATAATCAATCAGTAGCTGTTGATGTTAGACTGTGTGGACTCCAACGAGTTTGCTCTATATGGGCAACGTTATAAAGCCATGTGTACAGAATATGGAGATTTTTCCGCTACAAACTTGGCGCTTGTCCATTCTCGTCCTCTTTTTTTTTAAAAAATAAAAATAAAAAATAAAGATAAAAATAATACAACAAGAAATGATTAAGAGATGCATTGAATCATGTGACAAAGTTGCATGATCATTGATATATATCTGCCCGCTGTGGCCCAACCACGGATGGCGTCCAAGGCTGGTTTTATGACAACATTTTTGCGATGCACAAACAAACAAATCTCCCAAAAGAGCAGGCTTTTAAAATTTATAAAAATCCTTCATGTCTACTTGAAAAGAAGATGAACATAACAATAACAATAATAATCTTTTAAAATGGCGGTCACAGCAAGTCAAACAGTTTGAGATGTAAAGCATGAATTTCGCATATAGGTGGGCGCCACTAGTTCGGAAATACCCCGAATTTAGTTTAGCTTTATAGTTTTAGATAAACGACCAATTTTCAACGAACAAAGCACCATGGCGCAGCGGAAGCGCGCCGGGCTCATAACCCGGAGGACCTCCGATCGAAACGGAGTGGTGCTACAAATGATTCAATTTTTTGGCCTTTTCTACTATTATGTATAGCTATTGCAGCCAATATTTTTATGGCGCATTGTTTCGCTGACTTGTTCTTTTTTTTTTGTCGCTTCCTTTTTATTTTTTAATCTCCGAAAAATCAATATCACATCCATAACCAAGCATGGGGTACATCCGCGATCATGTGCTTGAAATAGTATGCGAGTACGGATCATTAAGCTTAAATATAAGGTTCATTCGAATGTTGTATTACCAAAAATAGCATATGCTTGCTTTACTTATATCTCGAAACCACTATAGTGTCTCTGATGTTCATGGTCAAAAAGATTGCAATGAGAACATGATGCATTTCACCCAGGCTTAAATAACCTCGTCGCCATAGTCAGATTGCTGACAGCAGCACGATGGCCGCCGATGGATATTGTTAAACATATGCTCAGTACATGGTATACAAATCACATACTTCTTTTGATGTTGAACTCGACAATCAGCGTCCTTGTACCGTGATTCAAGGCGATTGATCTACGCGTTTTCTATTTCTTTGTAGACGTACGGCACCTTGTCATGTATCACAAGAAGCATACCGCCACAAGCAAGTGCTACAAAACCTGCCGATATGGTCGTAAAGGCACCAATGCCAATTTTTTCGACTGCTGGCAGCACCACCGCACTACCCGCAGCACCAAATATATATCGCATGAGGTAGTTGGCAGCGGTCACTTCTGCGGCTCGGGACGGCATCACATCTGCGGAAGATTGGTGAGCATATTTGAACCAAAATTATCGCTGATTATAGACATACCAAGGCAATACGTGTTTACAGAGGGAAACACCATGAGCTGACAGAAACCCTGTGCAAACATGACAATGGCAATGACAGGAATTCCGCCTTTATCGTATTCCACTATGGGGTCTGGGGTCAGTAATTGCAATAAATAAGGGTACATAGAATGGGCGCGATTATGCTTTGAACCGCATTGAATCGGGCCAGTAATCGAGAAACTTCACAATAACTTACGACACCATCCGTAGATGAGCATGCAAACGGGAATGCCAATACCCATCCAAGGAGCTGCGCTGCGCATCCTGTCCTCGGGTTTGCGATAGCCATTCCGCTTGCGAACCCACTCCTTGACAACACGGTCGGCCCAGCGCCCGCCAAAGAACGTGCCGAGCAAGTAGCCACATCCGGGTGCCAGGTAAAACAGGCCGGATTGCAAGGGTGTCGTCAGACCCAGCCGAGGATTAATAACGTAGACAATTGGTACAAGGAAGGAGTACATGTTCCAAACGAGCGACGATGACGCGATGGATACCAGGGCAATGTTTGAGTAACGAAACAGGGACAGCAGTTTGAGCGGATTCATGGTTCTGAGCGTCTCTCGCATTCGATCTTCTTTGGGAATAGAGTCCCAGCGCTTGCGGTGTATGGTCTCGGGAATGAGAAAAATGGCGAGAATGCTGGCGAGTCCGCTCATGGCTACCTGTAACCAATAAATGTCCCTCCAGCTGACATATGTCACAATCGCGCCTCCGAGTAAGGGTCCTGTCACCATGTTAGTTTTGGTTATTCCTACCTGCACCGTATTTGCTTACCAAGTGCAGGTCCAACAAGAACTCCGCTGGAGAACCATCCCATTGCCGTCCCTCTTTCAGTCTAGTATTGTCAGCACCAACCAGAAGTACCACGAACCAGGACGAGACACCAACCGGCTTGTATAGATCCCCAATGCATCCAGGACCCGTGACCAACAATCCCGTTCCACCAAAACCGCTGAGAGTACGGAAAGCGAAGAAGGCGGCCAGATTTGGCGAAAGTGCTGTGCCGAGCGAGAACGCAAAAAAGGATATCACGCTGCTCAACAAGACGAGACGACGACCGGCGAGGGTGCTCAGAGAGCCCCAGAGAAACGCCGAAAGGCCCATGGCGGCGGTGTACAGGCCATTGCTGATGTTGATGACGGAGCCCGTGGTGTGAAAAGCCGCGGCAATGTCTGGCACGGCCGTCAAGCTGCCCGTCGAGGAAATGGGCGAGAGAATGGCGCAAAAGGACAGGATGGCCACAAAGGCTCGTTTTTTCCGTCTCGAGAATCGGTCGTATATGACCTCATCGCCAGCCTGTTGCTCCTCATGACCCGATGAAGACTCTTCGTCTTCCGCGGCATTAACATGGCTCTCTACCGGGACTAACTCCGGGAATAAAGACCCAGGAGACTTTTCCGGAGGACCATTCGCCTCGAGTTCTTTCTCGTCGTGGGTCATGATATTCATCCGTGTATACGATGTTCATTTTGGACATGACAGGAAGAGATGAGATGGCCGCTGCAAGGGAAAAAGTTTGGTTGGTCTAGGGAGGCTATAGGCACATGGATACAAACCGATGCCGGCCATTACACGGACAAGACACTTCTCGGACCTCCTATCTACCCCATGTACTACCCAGGACAAGATGCCATCTCCACCCTTCGGCTGCTTTTCCGATGGGCACAAAAAGTCTCCGCATTCAGCAGCCCAAGGCCAACAGCCGAAAGCGTTCAGCAAGAAGACTTACTAGAATGACTTTGAGCGGGCAAACATATGGATCTGGGTTGAAGCTTTGATCTGAAAGGAAAATGATTCCGTGCAGCAGGCTTGGTAGTGACACACAGGGTGGCAACTGTACAATAAAATAAAGTCATTTTTGAAGACATGGTTGAATGCCAATGATTGAGAGAGGCAAAAATAACAAAACTGAAATCCAAAAAGAACAATCTGCACTAGCCGCGAATCGAACGCGGGGCCCATCGATGGCAACGATGGATTTTACCACTAAACCACTAGTGCTTGGAAAGTTTGTTCTTATTAGAGAATATGTTTGCCATATCATTTCCGTGGCGCGTCAAATTCCACTACCCATGTATATTGTGGTCGAGACTCACGAAAGATCCAAGTTAATAAGGGGCCCACGCCCCGCTAAGGTCCGTTATGGTCTCCCTCCAGCTAACACTGTTTTGCTTTAGCACCTCAATAGGCTGACGGGCCCATTGATCAGGCACCCGCACGAGCCGCACCATAATACAACTGATCTCGTCTCTTGGTCCCAAACCATAGATCTCGGTCGAGCCAATGGTGAATGACTAATGATGTAATCGCGATTCGTCGGTATCTTGGGTCGAAAATTTAATGGAAAGATATCTGCTCTGCTTTTGTGTTTATATTACCTCAACTTGATGTAGACTCTTTGTGTGAGGCTACACCTGAGACTACCAAGCACCTACGGATTATAGTGACAAAGCTAGTCCTCGATAAGCATGTACCCGGTGGCATTTATTATTAGCGGCGCAGCAAAGACAAATCTGGTTTCATTAATAAATTCAAGGCGGATTCATGATTGCCTGCCTGTTTACCTGGCATTTGCTCCTTTCCATAGATACACAGTCTCACATGCATTGTCATCATCGTCGCCTCCTCTCACTCGACGACATTATATCAATCGCTTGCAACCATGAGACTCACATTCGTCGCCGCGCTTTGCCTTAGTGGCACTTCTGCCCTGGCCGCTACTGTGCAATCAATCAATGCAGAGGTCGAGAAAGTCAAACACAACGACTGGCCTAGCGCCACATATGACACCGAGCCCATCACCTATTTTGATGGCAAGCAAGTTCCTGCATTACCACAGATAACCGACGAAGCCGAGTTTAGTCAGACAAAGTATCTGGTGGTCAATTTTGGAAGGTACATATAAAAATCTGCTGTGCTTTTCCATTTGCATATGTCTTGTGCTAACAGGGATCCGAAAGCCCGTATTGTCCCCATTGCATAAACTTCAAGCCGACCTACCAGACCTTGTACGAATACTACTACACATCAAATGTCCCAGTAAACAACAATACAATTCCGCCGACGTTCGAGGAGTATTACGGGCTCAAATTCTACACAATCAACTGTATCTACAAAAACGACATCTGCAGAAAGCAAGGCATCACAGCTTATCCCACGACCATTTTGTACAAGAATGGCGAGCCTCTTGCTTCTCTCCGAGGTACCAAGCAAATGAACCAAGTCGCCGACATGATTGAGAATGCGCTTGAGTCGGAGAATCCGGGAATCCGACCCCTCCACCCCCTTCTCCCTGCTCCCGGTGCTACTTCGCGTCCTGTTCCCCAGAACGTGCCGCAGGACAAGGTGCCCACGGATGAGAGTCAGAAGCCATTGAATGCAGGGGGGAAATAGTGTATAAAAGTTGCATTCTTTCAAGAGATAACCGTAAGTGAAGTGAGCAAGCGTTCGTTTCGCTAGTATTTTTATCTCACATGAGCCAATGCGGGAAGGGAAAGATGTGATCGAGGAGGCGTAGAAGGACGTCTGAGTTGATTTACGATTTATAACAAAGAAGTGCCGAAGAACTGCGTAATAGCGAACAATATCATGATTCAGACCGTCTTGTAAAGCTCGTCCGCTATGTAATGCGCGCCATGGCTGCTAGAAGATTCTCTTTTCAGACTTGATCAGGAGTTATAGGCACCAAGACCCATAACTGATTGACATTGCCGGGAAACGACTCATAGCCATAGATCCTCGTACTTGGAAGAAAGGTATAAGCAACAGCATATAGTTTGGAAGACCAAAAACTTACCCGTTACCCATGCCACCAAAGTAGAGATCCATAGAGGTACCCCCAGCTTTATTGATGAATCTTCACATCCCATAACTCGTTTCAGAATTCACCGTCTTTTCTTCAATACGGCGGAACCGCATCTGCATCAAACATTGGGATTTTACTTACTGGAAGTGTCTTGGAAGGTTGGGCTCCGTGTGTTCCAAGAGCTGCCATAGCTGTCGATCGGTCTCGTAGGGCACGTAGCCGACAATGGGCGTTTGATTGTCGCTCGCGCCGTTCTGGAGCGTGAGCGCAGTCCCGGATGCCAAGTTGATGAGTTTCCAGTATTTCCCCTTGTGCACGAATCGCCAGATGCGGTTCTTTGCTCCCTCGCTCCAGATGGGTGCCCACCCTTGGACAATGACGTTGTTGCCTCCGCGGCCGGATTCCAAGTCGACGACGGTTGCGGTCCTCAGGTTGACTATCGAGTACAGACCACCGTCCGTGGGCGGAGCTGCTGTTACGGTACCAAGCAGATTGGTGGCAAATAAAAGCGCTGTTGCGAAATGCATCATGGACAGTGTCAGGATTGAATGGATCTGACTGAGAAGTGCTTACCTGGAACACAATACGATAGTTGCACTGCTTTTATAATACACCCGTCGATTGGTCATCTGGGGACATTTGGTTCATTGTGTTGACCCGAGTCCGCCAGCGGAATTAAGCACGCCAATCTATGGAATGGTTTTCAGCTTTCATGAAATGCTGGAAGCTAACGACTTACGATTATGCCGCCTTGGTATTGGCCACCGTGAAACATCATTGGTAAATCCTGGCATCAGGCTGAGACTTTGTATAATCTACCGATATGGAATGAACTTGATTGGTTTCATGTGCCGCGCTGCTGTAGCTGAGGCACCAATATGTATTTCACGGTAGCGTCTTGAAGCTTCTTTTGCCGCTTCTTGATATTGGCACTATGGTAGGACCGAACGTGCGCCGAAGCATGCATACTCCTAAAGCGGTGTTGATGGCCGCCAAGATGACTAGGTGCTGAATTTATTCTACTAAGACTTAGCAAAATTCTACAATTAGACGGTTCCACCCCGTCATACATTCTAACAAGTTCATGCAAGGGCAAGATTGGCGATACATAATGATCAGTTTATGGCGTGATACCAGTACTAAACTACTACCGGCCGCTAATAGTGGCCATATAAGCCTGGCATACAGCATATGTAGGTACCTAGGTAAACCACCTGAGATAGGTTAGTTTCCGTCCCGAGCCGTACCGCAACCCAAAACTATCCCGACACTTCAGCTACTCATATGTGGGCATTTCTTCGCCACCCTTCAAGTCGCAGAGATCATCTAAGCATCTGATGAAAACCTTGGTTGTCCGTTTGTCATTTGCATGTTTAACCTCATCACATACTCTCTCATGACGCCAATGCAGTCCGTTCCTGCAAAGCCCATTCCACGCTGCAGTACGCCCTGCAGCTCCCGTCATAAGAATCAGAAAGACAGGGGGACGTCGGCAGGGCTTTGAGCAATCATGTCGTTTACAATTTGTCCAATGGTAGGACCGATTTCTGTGCTCGGCGGGGACCAGCCTAACTCGACAGGCATGCGCTCGTTTCCTGTATTCAATCAGCCCCCATAGCTTACTGTAGAACATGAGAGTCGACTTACGAAAGAAATACTCAAAATAAGCTCGGTCGATGACTTGAACAACAGGGTCACCCCAGATCGCGACCAGCATTGCGTTCTCTCCGACCAGTACCGGAACAGATTCCTCGGCAATAGCGAAGTCTGGGTTGACTCGACTCATATCAAGGGCATGACGAGCGCGCGCATTAGCGAGCGACTTGACTGAGATCTCAGTGTCGTTGCCGAAATAGCTCATGAAGCTATCAAAGACTTTCGGGTCAAATTTACCCGATGTGTCGAAATAGACATCTGCGCGAGACAAGCTGCCGTCGTGTTCAACAAGTCCGTGGGTTGGTTGCAGCATGTCCATATCAAAGAACTGTTATGTCAGCAAAGCATCCTAAAAGCAGCGTATTTGATTGCAAAGGAAAATTGAATGATCTTTCTCTTGGGTTCAAACTTACAGTGGCATTGGGTTGAGGATTCACTACCCTGCCCGTATCCCAAATATTAAAGGCAAAATCGTAGCCGATATTGTAACCATCTTTCAAAGCTGTGATCAATATATCCTTGGTGATATGCCGACCGTCACGCGGGAGAAATCCATGATTTGCCAGTGTATTCATGGCTGGGCAGGGTGATCGTACTAGATGCTGTGAGAATTTTGGTTCTTTTAGACTTGCTTTTATAGCAAAGACTTACAATCATTATGGCCAGCCGGCTTCCAGGCAAAATGGTTCCAGCGAATGGTGCTTCCAACCCAGAGATCGTCCCCGTTCATTGAATCGCGTTTGCCCAACTCCTTTGTCACCGCATTCATGTTGATATGCGGATAAGCAAGCACAGTCGGCATCGACGATGCTAAGAGCAGAAAATACGGAAGCATCATGATAAAATGAAGGAGCAATGGAATGATTTAGTTTGAATCAGTAAAGTTAATTGATTAATGTTGATTGATTCTCGAAAGATGATGGACAAATGGAAAAGTCATTACCAAGGCAGACCACCTTCAATTTATAATCTTGCAGACCCTCTTCATCTTCACCATGAAGATCATAAGCCAACACCTCGACAAGTCTATAGAATACCATTTACTCGTTTCCCTCTCTGTCGTGTATAGTCATTGACTCTGATTAAGACATCAGCGATATCCGCTTACGATAACGAGAACGAGGAGATTAGCAATGCAAGGCTGCTCAGCCATTGCCAAGCTCATCTCAGTGGGACCAGGACAACTAGCATTCAAAGAATACGCCACGGGAACCTCGATAACTAACCTATTCAGCCCCAAAATAAAGATTAAACAGTTGCCTAGCGCCAAGCAACACTGCGTGGCCCAGTGCAACTTTAAAAAATGGTCTATGCTGTAGCTTCGCCCTCTCAAGCCCCCACTCAAAGCCTGGGTGGGACCTGGGGCTGTTTTGCTCGAAAACCCATTTCAAATCTAGAAAGCCAAAACCACTCTTCAATGCTCCGAACATCCACAAAAATTGGTGCTCAATCATCATATAGTTTTCTCCCCCCAGACATGAAGAGACTAGGTTTCAAGAAATCTCGAAAGGGCTGCATTAGATGCAAACAAAGGAGGGTCAAGGTCAGGGTCCAGCAATCCTTGCTTTACATCAAGTACATGTGCTTTTGAATGGAGAGGCTAACATCCGCTCTGGTCTATAGTGCGACGAAAACATGCCATGTGCAGCTTGCGTGAGGCATTCGGTACAATGCAGTCTGAGTGCCAACTTAGGAGGGATCAACAAAAAAGACACAAGGGATGACACAAGTATTACTCGTAAGGGGCCTCGCAATAATCAATCGCTACCGCAATCATCGAGGAATGCCACGAAGCCCTCCTGCCCGCCAAACACTCAAGATCAGTCGGACTGCGACTTATCGGTAGAGAATTGTGCCCAGAGCGTGCCGCGCTGGCCTACCTTGGACACGATGGGAATTCAAGCGCTTGAACTGATGCATCACTACACGGCGATTGCTCATCGTACCTTGGCAGTCCATGATCAGATTGCTAATGTACTCCTACACGATGTCCCGCAGGAGGCGCTTTCTTGCCCTTTTCTCCTGACACAATTATTATCATTCGCCGGATTCCATAAAGCGTACTTGCAGCCTGCTCGCCGTCAATCGTATTTCTTGTCCGCTTCCTTTCATCAAGCGCAGGCTCTGAACGACATGAGGCAGACTCTAATAGAGCCAATCACACCAAGCAACTGCCACGCCTTGTATGCTTCTGCCATTTTTCTGGCTGTCAGTACATTAGCCAAGCTACCAAGCTACGAAATATACAGCCACGGCTTCGATCCCTTGAACAGGCTGCTCGAGGTTTTTGTTCTGGTTGATGGCATGGGCATCATTTTGAACTCATCAAACCACCATCTTCGAGCCGGTCCACTGCGGGGGCTTTTCGCGAAGCCATGGACCAAGACCACTCTTTCAAATCACCTGAGCATTATCAGTCGTCAGCTTCCCGCGTTACGATCCAAGGTCTCTCAGGATCTGAAGAACTGGGATGAGGACACACTGATTGCGATTGAAGCAATCGACACCCTCATTGACAGCGTGGATACGGTACAAGAAGCGCACACACTTACTGCATCAGCCGAGCTTCGAGCCGTTTTCCTCTGGCCTATCATGGTCTCCAACCAGTATTTGATTCTGGCACAGAAACGACATCCCCTATCTTTGGTTGTTCTCGCGTATTATTGTGTTCTTCTCCGTTTGGCGGAAGAGTATTATTGGTTTTTAAAAGGCTGGGCAGGAACCGTCATGACGCAGCTTTTTCAGGAACTTCACGGCACTCCTTGGACAGATCTTTTATCTTGGCCTTTACAAGTCATTCTATATCATCGTTGACATGAATTATTCCCGTCACAACTAGCAAATTTTTCGATATCATGAAGTTTCAGCACATAGGGAGGCTGATAATATCTTGATTGACCACACTAAAGCAGGCCGCTTGATGAGCGTCGCCGGGCAATGCAGCCGGCGCTATCAACAAGTGATAGTCTCACCTAAGCCTATGTAAAGGGGAAGATGCTATTGAGAGAGCGTAAGAAAGATGCCTGTCTGAATTGATCCTACCAATCTGCAAAAAAAGGTGCTGAAGAGCTATCTTATATACCACCCAGGTGATCTGCGGTGGGTACTGACTACGTCAGTGCGACATTAGCACTAGATTTTGATTATTGAGACCAACAAACCTTTCAAGGACTTATGTAGGGCGCGACAGGAGGAGACCAGGCTACTGTGGGTGATATGGGAAAGTATTGGCTTTATGATTCGCTGTTGGATAGGTACTTTGGCTCATCACGAGCATGCAAGTTCTGCAAATTTGGTGCAGTTTCATGTAAACCCACTTTTAAATTCTCCGGCGGCACATTCTCTAGTGGGGGACTCGCGCCTGTACCCACAGTAGAAGCAGGGGTATTTTTATAAGCATAAGGATTAGATCGAGTTCATTTGACTCTCCCTCACCCGGAGTCCAATCAAGGCATTGAATAGCCAAATCTCTCGACTCTGAATGGTTCAATCGATAATGACGGGCTCTTCCGCGGGCAGTTGCCGAGAAATGGATCACGACTAAATCACAGTCCACGTCAGCCAAACGTAAGTCAGGCCCATTAATACATTCAATGCCGAACACGATATCTGGAGAAAAAGAGGTAGTAGAAAACCATGTTGGTGGAGGTTCACCGTAGTTCCCCCTTGGTCGCTGTTCCGTTGTGGTGCTGTTGCTGTTCTAGATTGCTTCCAGCAGATCCAGCGGCGTTAGAAACTATGCAATCAGACAATCTGAAGTTACAGGCAGACAGACAGATAGACAGACCAGTAAAGCCAATGTTGGAGTAATGTTGCTACAGGTCTCAAGATCTCATCAAAGGACCTTCGATACAAGCCCCGTCCGGCTTTCTTCACTCATTCAGGAGCGCCCTCCCCTTCTCTGCCCGCCATCTCGCCGCTTTCGCCCTAATCATGACGGCTGCGTAGATGCCGGTCTTCCAACTGAAAGTGGATAACGCCCCAGCTTTTCGCTTCCGACCTTGTTTAAGCGTGAATGCATCGTCTTCATCAAAGTCATTCCATAAAATTGCTCTCGCAAGGGATCACCGCCGATCCAGCCCCCTGTTTGCCAAGGCTTGAACGTCCCAAGAGCCGCGTCAACGCCGCGTCGGGCCATACATTTCATTATTATTTCAAATCGCTCTAGATTTTGATCTTTGCGATGGTTAGAACTACTTAAATGGCAAGACTCTGAGTGTCAGTTGAGATGAAAGTTCAGCTTACCAGCAGCCTTCACACTTCATTCCCTTGAACAAACCAGACGCTGAACGCTCTCAGTCAACCGGACCAGTTACACTCTTTGCAACATACCAAAAATGAAGACTCAATCGCTTACACTCCTCGGCCTTTTGGCCACGACCACGCTCGCACACAAGGAGAGCAGTCCCGCCGTTTACAAGCGTCATGCCGATCTTTCCAAGCGATGCGCCAACAGCGCCGCCAACTTCAACAAGAAGAGATGGGAGAAGCGTAGCGAGGAGGCATCTCTGCTAAAGGCCCGCACGGCCAACACCACCTATTCCATCACTACAGAGGCCCCCTACTATGAGGTTCTCCAGAACGACACTTGCGTCTTGGCACCCGATGTCACCGCCGGACCCTACTACTGGCCTCGCTCGCAAACCCTGCGCCAGGACATGACTGAAGACCAGATTGGTGTTCCCTTGACCCTTGACGTTGGTGTCCTGGACATGGCCACCTGCGAGCCCTTGCCCAACGCCCTCGTTTCTTTCTGGCACTGCAACAGCACCGGAAGCTACTCCAGCTTTACTGGCCGTGACCCCAACACCGATTTCCGAGAGCTGCTCGAGTCGCTTAACGTTACCGACTTCGAAATTGGCACGACTGACCTCCACACCGACGATACCACTTGGCTCCGTGGCATGTGGCCTACTGACAGCGAAGGTGTCCTCGAGATGAAGACCATCTTCCCTGGCTTCTATATCCAGCGTTCAATCCACATCCACGCTCAAGGTAAGGAGTTTTCCAATGCGCCGTCGAAGCGGCAGCAACTCGAGTTCACCTGCTGACCAAGACTTGATAGTTTTCACTGACTGGGTCCTGCACTCCAACGGCACCATTGTTACCGGCAACACAAACTCGATTGGCCAGCTCTACTTCAACGAGTCTGTTTCCGAGACACTCATGGCGCTTGAGCCTTATGTCAGCCACACCGAGATCAACCGAACCACCAACGACGTCGACTCCGTTTACTCCGAGGGTTTCTCCAACGGCTACAACCCCGTCATTGACATTGTCGCTGCCGACGGTGTCGATATTGCCAACGGTGTCATTGGCTACATCACCATTGGCATCGACACAACCAACAGCCCTGGCCTCAGCGGCTCCACATCTTCCGGAGGAGGTTCTGCCCCGGATGCATCTAACACTACCGCTCCGGCAGCTTAGTAGAAGAACTGATAAACCCTTTTCTTCTTCCTCACTAGAATTAGAGTACTCTTGAATTCAAATAAGCACATTAGATACCCTAAAAGACAAGCATTAGACAAATACGTGCTTGAATTCACACAAATTCAAGGCTTTGCCATACTTTTGAATCACCTCGCCTGATTATTGTCAAACAAAATCTCACGGAATCAATCAAGCGTGCTAGTTGAATGGTTTATGCCTTCTTCCGTCTTCATCTGTGGGATTACGCGAGGATCCTGTCAAGTTGAGTTCCAGTTTAGGCTTCCCGGGCCGCTAAAATTATAATTGGATCCTGCAGAGGACCCAACAGACCATTTTCTTTTTTAAAACTTTTTTTTTTCCTGAAAAGATCTGCGAACTCGTGGTAACAGGGGTTCTCGCACCTGTCAATACCCTTAATTGCATGACCCGCGTGATCAACCCCGGCACCCACTTGCCATCAAAATGCGTTGGCGATTTCCTTTCACTTGGCGTTACTCACTGCGTTTACTGGTTGTCTGAGCTGCCCCCGATACCCTGGCAACCTGCGCCGAAGTAGTTGCTGCCCATCTACACCCGTTGTCAGTACTCATTTGGATAGAGATGAGGGCCTTGAAGCTCACTCCAGTACAACCCGAACCACACATTGCGATACCGCCCGAGCCGCATCCCGTTGAACCGCCGCATGTCCCCGCCGCACATGCGCCGGGTTGACCGTGGTAAGTGTGAATCACGCCAGGATGGCTTGCGTACATTTCCTCAGTGAATATCGCAGCGGCCTCGGATGACCATGGACCGGAAAGAGCAACTCTCTTGCCCCAGTGCACAGAGTGGTCATCTCCCCGTAAACCAATGTGGTTTGAGTGAGTTGTACCCGAGGTGGCTGGAGAAGATACAGGTCCCTTAGCAGCTTGTTTCATGACCTTTTCATAGATATCGTTGAGGTTATTGTGGAACAGCAGGCGCCGCGTCCTGTTCTGCGAGCTCCGTTCATCCGCAGTTCTTACTGCATGGTGCGATGAAATGTGTTGACCCGCGTCCTGTCCGGAATCACGCCATTCCTCTGTAGCTTTGAAGGGAATGGTAGTCAGTTTTCAAGCCGTCAAGAAATAGTCGCGTCTTCGACACGCACCTTTGTCTTGCTTGTGACCAAATAACCGCTTCAACTTGGATCTGGATGTATGCATATATCGCAGGCCTATCCCACAGATCAGTACAAGTTCACATAACAACAACGATTGGCCTGACCACTGACTCTCGCAGAACCAACAATTACATTCAGAGTACACCTCGCCGTACTTCTCCTGGTATACTTTGCCCATCCAGTCAAATGAGATGGCAAGCTTGTCCTCATCAATCTTGTCATTGTGGTCGGTGAAAACTCCCGTTTTACTCACAGCATACTTGAAGTATGATTGTGGGCTCAACTGATGAGTGTGCCACGCCAGGTCCACATCGAGAGTAGGCGTAACAGCCTGATCCGGATGAGTAGAGGCAATTTCGAAAAACCTTTCATACTTTTTCAAGGCCTTTTCCATCGTAAATCTGGCTGCAGGGCTATGAAGCCAATCAATCTGGGTTGTCAGCCTCCGAAAATCGAAATTGCAAAGCCCGGTACATACCTTGAACATCTTTGCGACAAACACTCCCTGGCGCATGACGGCATTTCGGAGATCCAGAGCAAACATTGAAGAGTTTTCCCAGTATCGCGACATCATTGCTCTTGTCTGCATCCGAGAGCTTCGGGACAACCTGTGCGGTACCAACGTACCCAGGACGCCCTCTGTGCCCTTATCAACCTTTTTCAACCGATCGCTGCTGTGGCGATACTGCGTATGGGCGGTTACTTCCTGAATCTTGTTCCTGACCAACATCATGGTCGGCTTGGTGGAGGATTCCATCAAGTTTGATACCTCGACCAAGATCCCTCTACGAACGAGGCGGTTGGGAAAGAGTTGATCACTCTCGGCGGTTTGTCTACGTCCGAGGCCGCTTCCATCCAAAATGGTACCGGGCATTGGCCAGTCGTTGCGAACCAGGTTCCTCACATCTTCCCTGAACTTGCCAACTCGAAGAAGGTCTTCGTCAATAGTAGTGTTGCATTTGATGCACAAAGTCTGAAAATTTCCGTCGCCATAGCCTTGACCTGAAAGGTCAAGATCCCTGCAGCCATGTATTAGTCCCCTTGTCTTGTTAGCGGATACATGTACTTACTGCCTTCTTTTCGAATCTTGAGGCTGACCGCAACTAGTCCAAGCCACATTCAAGCCTTCTGAGCACGAGGGGCATTGAAGTTGTTTCGTCTCGCTGTCTTCTTGGTTGAACCAAGGTCTCCCGGTTCTTTCAGTCCACTGGGCCTCACATGCCTGATTAATATTGTACTCGAAAGTTGCACCATTTATGGCGTTGTTGATTATGGCCCAGGGTATGCCTGCTCTCCAAAAGGTACCATAGCCATGTCTAAGGCAATCCTATGAAACTTTTAGTGTTTTTTTTTTTCTTTTTTTTTTTGCTGTCTTGAGAATTTGGTTCCCGTGGCAGAAATATGCCCTGCTTACCTCGAGGAATAGCCGCGGATTGAGCATATGTGTATGCCAGACAATCAAAACATCTGATCTCGGTGGGTCAGCTGAATATAGACAAAATTCATTGTCCCCGACAAGCTCAGAGAATACCACTCACCGATGGGTGGTATCATTTCAGCAGTCCATTCAATTGCGTCCTCCAAGACAGTGAAGCCTTCGTACTTTGTTGTCTTATCGGTTCCCTTCTCCAACATGTCGGCCTCTTTCAGCATGTCGGGTACGAAGCTCTTCCACCAGGCTTCATATCGATCAACAGCCCTAGCTACATATATCGCCCAACGCTTCTCGCATAGTTTTGCGGTGATCGACCCATTGCTGTGATGTGCATTTGATGCATCACTTGTGGAATCGGTTCTCAGTTGATCCCAGATATCCCACAGCCCGTTTGTATGTCCTATCTTGGTCTTGAGAATTTCGATTGCGTAGAGAAGTCTAAGATGAATGAGGCAAGCATCAGCTGTTGGGAAGGATGCCTTATTAGACGCCTCCAGATCAAGACTAGTAAAGTCAATGTGAAGCTGACTTCCTGTACTTTCACCTATATTGGGAGCCTCGATAATGCCGTACGCTGGGGGAACATCATCGGCACGAGATTCGGAGTTCATTTTGGAAGACAACGTTTCACGACCAATTTTCGTGACATCGCTGAGGGAACGCTGTGGAAGGGTCAGAAGGATGATGATCATTAGGCGCTCATCGAAAGCAAGGGGGATGATATGATTTTGTGTACTAGCCCGTCGCCCGGTTACATAGGTGCGATACTGCCCAATTCCTTTCTATCTGTTCGGGAAGTTCTGCCGTCGCTAAACTCGGTCCGTCTTACCGAGCATCGACTGAACCAATTTCAATACCTACGCCCGCCGCGTTGTCTTGAAACTATTTCGGGCACCTGGGTGACTCCATTGGATATACAGAGTACTTGGCGAGACAACGCCACTCTGACTTGCAGATGATGACCACAACATGGTCGCCCTTCCACGATGCCCGTTTCTAAATGTTTTGTCCAGGTATTGTATCAATTGCACTCTTAGGTTTAGCGACTCATGCGCTAACCTCTTATACAGACCAAACATATTTCATCTAACTAGCATTGTCAGCTTTTAGCTCTTGTCAGTATTCCAAGCTTCCCGATTGCGATAGCGCACATGAAGAGTGCACATCGTGTTATTCTGTGCTTGCATTTATCTTGTGATACAAAAGAAGAAAATTAAACAGTGACTTCAATAGGGTCAACAGCGGGGTAAATGAAATGAATGCTGTTCTCTACGAGCCGTCTGAAGTGCTCAACGTTCAGACCTTCCTGGAGGACAAGCTACGGGCTTTCAATTTCAACTGACACAGTCCTATGCCAACATGCGCTGGGCTCTGAATGTGCTGTCTGACTTGCGCGCAGTATTGCCTACCAATGTAGGAAGCCTAGTGGGTGCCCGCAGGCACGGCGACCGGAACTTGTCGAGGTCGATGATGTGGCCGAAGCACTGCTCTCAGTGGATGAGGCAGTGCTAGAAACCGTGGCGGTGTCTGTGCCGGTGCTGAAGCCGGAGGGCGCCCCACCGCTGGGAGCTGCACCAATCTGACCCTCGCCAATTTGATCGCTCGTGTCGACATCATAGTCGGCATAGTGCTCGGCGGCTCCAACGACTATATCGGAATAGTTGGCAGTAGTGTTGATGCCAATGGTAATCCATGCCAAGATACCGTCTGACTGTGTGTTACCGAGCAGGGCATAATCCATAAAGGGGTCGTAATCAGCAGTCGATGCGCTTTGGGCGATATCGTCGTCCACATTCTCAGTGATGGCTGCCGTATTATCAGTGTATGGCGCAGACGCCTCGACCGCACTGATCAGACCTTGGTCGAAAAACAACTGGCCGACGTGAGTGGCAACGCCATCAGTGTACGTGGCGTTCTCCCGAATGGTCGCGTTTTCGGTAGACACGACATGAATATGCGTGGCTCTGCCAGCGTAGTGACCCGGGAAGATGGTTTCGAATTGCGCGACGCCGTCCTCATCACTAATCTGCGCACCGCGCAGAAATGTGCTGCCGAGTCCTGCCTGGCCCGAAGCCGTGACACCCGAGTAGACCCCGGTGGCATTACAATGCCAGATATCGGCAACCATGTTATGAATGGCGGAACAGTCGCTATAGTTGACAAACTGAACATCCAAGTAGAAAGGCACGCCGGCTTGATCCTCTGAGATGTCCGATCGAATCAGCTCCCCCGTGACGTAGTATGGCCCGAGGACCGTTTCATCAGTCAAGGCACAGGTAGCATTGCCACTAAAGAGAATGTCGGCGGGAGTGTTTGTAGTGTAATCGGAAGTGCCGGTCATATTGTGGTTGCTCGCCATCCAGGTCTCGAGAGCGGCCAAATCTCGCTTGCCGTAAATGGGCTTTGAAGAAATGTCACGCTTCTTGCGAAGCGTATGAGCAAGTGCCGTGCGACGCTCAATGCTGCGCTGCTTGAGAGCCTGGAAAGAAGCAGAGCTGGAGCACGCTTCGAGAGCCCGCGCCATGTGCTGCTGGGCGACATGATGCGCCTCAGCCTCACGCTTCACCTTCTCGTGATCGTGGTGCTCACCAGGATGAGCCGCACCTAGGCATGATATACTCAGTACCACTAAGGCGGATGATAGGTTAACCATTGTAGATAGATAGTGAGTCGTTCTATGCCAATAATGGTAAGAAGAAGCTGAACTTGCAAGAAGGTGAAGGAAGATTGAGTCAATGTCGCCGAGTGAGAGGTTCCGGTGATCGTCAAGGCGTACTGTAAGTAATCACTTTTTAATCTAGCTCTCTCTTCCATATGTTGCCCTGAATTTGTCCATCAGATTTATAGGAGCTGTAGTCCTGTTCATCGTGATGGATTACGCAAGCGGCTTGTCCCCTCTCAGCTAGCTGCGGCAACATACAGCCTTGAGGTCTGGGATCTGCAAGTGTTACGTACGATGCCAAGATGGAGGTGGCACAGGTTCAATAATTGAAATGAGTATCGTTGGTAAACTTTACGGATACCGTCATTGCTCTTCTGTAAAATTCGTTGAATTTGCTGCATTGAACCCAACTGAAATAGGGTGACTTGCAGCACATCTTCTCTGACATATCGAAAACCTGCAATTTGACCATCACTCAATACAACATCATTACGTAGCTGCCGTTTGAACATTGTTAGACTATGTTTATATTTACATGTGGGTGAAGGCTCTGAAGAACGGCTGCGCGCGGATCTGGAAATACCGTCACTAAAGCTGCTAACCTTAGGATGGAAACATGGCTCTTAGAGCGATGGCCGCCTAAATATATGTAACCGTTTCCTGCTAGAATAACATAGCTCTACCACAACGCGGCATAGATTGTACTACCCTTAACACGTGCCATAAAAGTCGGGGAAATGAAGCGTATAATGATTCCTACAAGTACACTAACTCTGTTGGTATTAAATATTATCGACAGCTCTTCTAAATAACGAGCTCTTGTCAGATGCAGGGTGCTTGCCGCTGCACGACGAAGAATTTGGCTGACCATACTACTATGCTTCATCAGCACTTGACTAACTCTTAGTAATGGTTCTATTTACTACCTATTTAGGAAATTTAGGCATAGTTACTTGAATAGACGTAATGACCCACATACTATTAGCAGAAGTCCACTGTACCCCATGGAGTAGGATAGCGGGGAGATTCACCATTTAGATTCAGACTAGCTTAAGCTTCCCCGTTCAAACCAGTTCGAGTGCCGAGTTGACGTTTGATGCCGCCAGTCGATCAGTGTACCGTTCTTTATGTGACACGCTACCCATGCCACCGGTCCCTCAGGGTACACCACAGCCTGAGGAACTTATGCAGTTTCTCCGTCGTGATCGATCTAGAACTCCCGAATCAATACAAGCTGCGTTGCCGTCATGAAAGGCGATTCATGGCATCAGCCGCATCAAGATACGCACGTGTGGTAGTCAATCATCATCACACACAATACGTTGGATTATCCAGATGGCGTGACAGCCAACGCTTTTGTCTTTTAATTCAACATGGTACGCGTCAGTGACATCGCCATTACATACTGAATTGATGCGGCCATTCGTGCTTCTGGTCGACTGAACTGCTGTGTGGTACTTCAAGGGAATCATCATATGCTGATCGAGGATATAGTTAGGCATACCTCCCCAGCCACGCGGAGCTCGTTCACTTCATCGTGCTCACGGATACCGGGATGAAAAATGACCAATCTAATCAACACCAGAGTAGCTTACGCGTCAATACCACTGGGGGCCTCATCATCTGCGGCGGATGCTAGCTCCCAAGTTAATGTCGTTTACGCTTCTTCAGCCTTGGATAGGCATGTACAAACAAGGTGGACCGCATGCTTGAGCGAGATCAGACATTGGATCTTGGCAACAAGACATCATTGAGATGTTGTCTAGAAGGCCTCGTCATCTATGTACGTTTCTGCCACTTTTCCCATGCTTGCGCCCGATCCAGCCATGCCTACCGTAGTAAAGACGGGCTGATCGCAATACCCACTGTGGCTGACTAAGGCCATGCCAAGACAACAATCTTCGTGAGGTATAGTGCAACTGAACGTGTCGGAGCAATGAGCATTGACTAGACCATGCCATGATGTTGGATTGATGGCAGATACCATGGCGCAAACAGTAGAAAGGTGTAGACGGTAATCCACCATGACTGGTCGTATAAGTACATGATCAAGGCACTGCCGTTGACATATTGATCAAACCAAAGACGCTGCTTGGCGAATACTATACACTTTTTATCATGAGGGCTAGTATTGAACACATTCTTCTGCCTTTGTCGCTCTTCGGTGCGGTGGAAGCAGCCGCCTGCACAAGCACCAAGGCGACAAACAACACTGGCGCGTCGGCATGCACCGGAGTGCGTCCTCGAGTGCCATGGTGAGAATCCTACACTATGCTTTGGCAGCAAACCCTTTGCTAAATTTGTCGCATAGGACGAGTCTTACAGAGGATGAAAAAAATGCGTACATTGCCGCCGATCTCTGTCTAATCAATATGCCATCAAAGTCAAAGTTTGAAGGCGCCGTCACGCGATGGGATGATCTACAATGGCCCCATGTGGCTCAATCCTCCGCCGTCCACTTTACTGTGAGTATTCTCCAGTGTCAAATTGAGTAGAGTGCCATTAGAATCTATATACTCATGCTTCACTCAGGGTGCTTTCCTGCCATTCCACCGATACTACATGACTGCCCATGAGCGCATGATCAAGGATGAATGTGGCTACACAGGACGTATGCCGTAAGTAGCTACATACAATACCTGACAAAGATTTCCTCTAAATTTAGCTAGGTACTGGGACGAGCTGGCAGATATTGACGACATTTCATCTTCGGACCTTTGGAATTATTTCGGCGGTAATGGATCTGGTGACGACCACTGTTTTACGGATGGCCCATTCGCGAATCTAACCCTTCGATGGTTAACGAATGGATCAACATCGGACCACTGTCTGACCCGAGAATTCAACCAGACTGCGTTCGAAGGAACCAAACAGTCTAATATTGATAAGTGCTTGGCCATTTCAAACTACACCGATGCATGGGAGTGCTACAATGGTGGCACCCATACTGGCGGTCACCTCGGTGTGAACGGAACCGTAAGTAGTGACTGCAAAGCTTTCCATCATATGAACCAGGGACACTGACTTTTCAAATTCTATAGATGACAGACGGTACCCTAAGTCCCGGAGACCCAGTGTTTTTCCTTCACCATTCGTGGCTGGACTTGCTTTTCTGGAACTGGCAAAAGGAGGATCTTCCTGCCCGTTATTACGACATGGGCGGCCCAGACCAGCCCACGTTTGTGGCCAACACGGAGCAGAGAGGCTTGGAATCCATCTGGACCGACTATTTTGGTGATGGCGGCAACACAACCACCCTAAATCATCGACTCAACATGGTCGACCTTTACCCAAACATTACCATTGGAGATGTAATGGATTTGAATGGCGACGTGATTTGCTCCGAGTACTTGAGCGCCGAAGAAGCTGGATAAAACTGGTAATTCCTCTCAAAGGGGCTCGCCATCGGTAGCGGTGGAGAATTCAATCAATAATCAAGACAACCGTACATAAAACGATTATGTCCGTATCTGATCATTGGAAAAAGAAAAATGAACTGATATAAGGGAGTGAGCACATTCCTTCTGACTTTTCTTGCAAGCACAACCACACCGTCTGGTGGCTACAGACTATTGCAAATGTTTATCACAGCCTCCGTGTGTAACAGTCTTTAAAATCTTCAGCCTCTAGTAGAATTGTAAGCCTTAATTCAACGTGGTAAATAAAACATGGTTTAAATGATACTAAGTAGTGCTTGCGAGTAGGCGTGGACCGCTACCAAGATGGACTGAACGGCCACGTGCTTGGCCAGGGCCTTCTAAGCAGGCACTACGGGCAGCATAAAACTAAGGCCGAAATTACGGTCAGAAATGCACCAGCTTCATAGCAATTTTCAAATGTCATGACACTTCATTTGAAAGAATAAATACATCGTTAGAACGGAATCAATAGCAAACATGTACTTTTACCTTTTACGTTTCACTTTTTTGCTTTTTCGGTTTAGATTGTTGCACGATGTAACCAAATCGGAACCTCTCTATAGCAGTCAATTACGGCTTTATGCAGCAAGATCCCTGGTTGACAAATGGCCCTGAAGGGGCGATGGTCCAGCGCCGAGTTTTGACAGAAAAGGCAGGTCTCAACCCTTCTTCCGTGCTTTGTAAGGCGAACGCGTAGCCATCTCAACCTCATGCCAGCGTGCCACTATAGCTTAACCTGGGATCTCGACCAACAATGAAACTTCACATGAAATTCTGGAAGCGCAATCAAGTCACTGGCTGCAAGGCATTGCTTAAGCAGAGCAAGGGCTGGCTAGACTTTTTATCCGAGCACAGCGGTAAGAAACATAAAGTCCGAGCTGAGCAAGATATAAGATGGAACCGATTTTCCATTACCGCTTGCTCAGATACAAATTTCTCAGTCACTTCTTTTGTTCTAGAATTAAGTTTAGAAAAGAACACTTTCGACACAATGTTTACCTTTAAGGCTCTTGCCGCTGCCTTGGCAGTCATCTCCATCTTCGGCACTACATCAGCTCACCCTGGCGAGAGACACTCACCCTCTAGTGTCAAGAGGGAGGCTGAACGATATCGCGAGGCTCACGCCAGAGCTGCCCGGGCCTTTTCCCAGATTGACCAGTTCCCGCGTGCTCTGGAGTTGCAAGAGCGAGCTGTTGCCCGGCGATTTGCTACATGGAACGCTCTCCGTGCGGAGCGTGGTATCGCCAGCAGTAAGTTGAATTCTCTATCAAATCAGTCAAGTGGTTTAATTGACAGTCTATAGACCCCTCGATCGAAAAGAGAACCAAGGAGGATCTAGACAAGTATCTTGCTATCAGCCACGATGTCTCTGATACAGGGTACACTCTTGACACCCCTACCGAGGTGATTTTTGGCAGCAACGCGACAGCTGCTTTGGTTCAAGAGGCAATCCTCGGTCCATACTTTGCATCTGGTGAGCTCTTGCGCACAGACGTAACAGAGGGTATTGCTGGTGTCCCTCTCCACTTGGACATCCAGTTCATTGATATCAACACCATGGATGCCGTTGAAGACCTATACGTAGATATCTGGCAATGCAATGCTCTTGGTGTCTACTCTGGTGTGGCTCTCGCAGGCCAGGCCGGTCTTAACACGACGTGGCTCCGTGGATTCCAAGTCAGCAACGAAGAGGGCGTTGTCGAGTTTGACACCATCGTGCCTGGCCACTACGCCGGACGTACACACCACATCCACATTCTGACCACGATCAACTCCACCATGTTGCCCAACAACACCTACGTCCCTGGTATCACCAACCACGCCGGCCAATTCTTCTTTGAGCAGTCCCTGGTCGACGAGGTCGAGACCCTGGACCCGTACAACACCAACACCCAAGTACTGGTCAAGACCGCGGATGACGACATTGCTCAGTCTGTGGCTACCTCGGTTGATGATCCACTGCTCCAGTACGTGCGGCTTAGTGACAACCTCCAAGATGGCTTGCTGGCCTACATCACTGTCGGCATTGACTTGAAGGCCAACCACAGCGACAGCTACCAACCTGCTGCACACTGGGAGGCGGGAGGCGGTGTCAGCCTGCCCGGTTGGGTGCCGTCGCTCCCCGGTGGTGTCACTCCCACTCTACCACCGGGTGTTCCTCTGCCTATCACCACATCGGCAGGCACTATTACAAGTGCCACCTAAAGAGCTTGTTTGCGATGAATTTCAACCAAGCCCGGAGGGATTCAAGAGTTTGGAAATGGCGGAGCAGGTTTTGTCAAGCCTAGTGGTGCGAGTGGTGCGAATGGTGCATTCACTTTTCGAAGATAGCAAAAACGGTTTCTATATGTTATGCTTCTACAGGTACATAGAGCAGAAGCCTCCAGTATACCAGACATATGGAAAAAGATTTTATAGCAATCAATAGCAATCAATAGCGATTGATAGCGATTGATAACTGCTCGAATATGTCGCTGTAATCTTGACCTTGTCGTCTTATAACGGCAGACTGTCGGTCGTCTTGATTCCATACACGACATGGATTAATAGGCTGCCAAGTTAACTCATTAGTCGCAATCATTGGCTTCTTGTGATACAGCGCAGCAAGGATGATTGCGCGCCGACCATGTGAGTGGTGAGGCCAACCCAGAAGGTTACCCGATAATGTCAGAATGCAGGTGAATGCAACGTCGAAAGCTACTACTACATACAACATTATCCGACGCAAGATGTCCACCACAGCCCACGACCTACATGGCTCAAAAAATCATCCCGCTCTCCACAAGTTCTGTCATTACCAATTCGTCTAACCACCTTTCCGTAGACCCGTTCTGAACAATGCATGCATCCATGATTTCGGTGAGGGATTGCTCCTGCAATTCTTCCAAATTTTGTTCCTGTGACAGAAACTCGAACTCAGCAAAATTCTCTTCATCAAGCCACACAGTACCATCAAGCGAAGAGCTCGCACTTCCGTGTTCACATTGAAAGCAATTTCCGGACCAAGATCGATCGTTATAGAGGATCCTAGGGCACGTGTGCTCTCTCTCTGTCATTTGGCGTGTTGTCGCTAGCTTGCTGAATTCAGGTTTCCAGTGCCCGCGCTCCTTCAGGAGATCTGCAACGGCGTAGTGGCAGTCTTCAATCGCAAAATTCACAGCCCTTATAAAGTGGACCTCATCGTACTGTTGGAAGTCTACATGAGGAAGTAGCAGCCCAACCATATCGACTCGTCCCTTTTCTGCTGCTATTTCCAAAGCTGTCATGCCCCACCGAGAAGCAGGTGGTGCATTAGCATCAGCGCCCCACTGAAGAAAGAATGCTGCCATTTCAAGATTTCCTGCGCTAGCCGCGTACTGTAGCGCCGTTCGACCCCCATCTCCTTCTGCCGGAGCATTGATATCAGCGCCATGCTCGAGAAGCAAGGATGCCATTTCAAGATTTCCTTTGCTAGCCGCGTACTGTAGCGACGTTCGACCCCCCATTCTTCTTCTGCTGGAGCATTGGTATCAGCGCCATGCTCGAGAAGCAAGGATGCCATCTTGACGTCGCCATCGCTGATTGCGATACTCAAAGCTGTCCCTCTAGAAGGCATCTTTTCTCTGTAACGCAAAAGATTGATATTTGCTCCTGCTTCTAGAAGAATTTCGACGCATTCAGTGTCACCACTGGATACGGCTAGCGCCAATGGTGTTTTCGAGAAAATCCCATTCTTATTCATAAGCCGAAACTCAACAGATTTGAGGCTGGCAACGCGTTGCCGAATGATATCGAGACGGGAGGAAGTGTCTATTGCTTCTATCAACAGATGACGGTTGCGAACCTCGGCTAGGACTGGTGAAAGTGGTTGCGCTGCTAGTAATAAGTCTATCATTTTCTGGCTGAAATAGGACTCATCGCACAGCGACGATTCGAGTAGAAGAGGGTCTGGCGATTGATAGCTAGCGATAATGTCCTTGGCTAGCTTTCCTTGACCCATGAACGCTGCTGCCCATAAGGGTGACATCCGCTTTCGATTAGGGAATCGCGAGGGTTTGATTGCCCATTGTTCCAAATGCAGTCCGGCTAAGTCAACTGGGCAATCAGCTTGAATTGAGATTTCCGATCTAGTTCTACACAGGTTCGCATGAAAATACGAATCAGGCAGGATTGAGGTAAAAGTTGGACGGAGAAATGTATCAATCAGAGTGGAATCACTCCCCAAGATTGAAATCACGAAACCGCTAGAGTCGCAAATATCCATCGGCCCAGGAATTCGATACTGCATCAGTTCCTCCACATGACTGTAATCATGCTTCTTCATAGCGTTTACGACAGCGAAGAGGAATGCCTTGGAGGTATAGTGCCCGCCACGCTGAAGGTAGTGCCGAATCATGCCATAGTTTCCTGCCTGACATGCAGCCTCCAAAACGGTTGCACCATCTGAATTCGCTGCGCATATATCAACTCCAGAATCCAGCAAGTGTTGGACGACTTCTTGGTCGTCACTTTGCACAGCACTGAAAAGTTCGCTGCCCTTGAGAATGGCTCCAGTATCAATGATTTTACGCACCAATGTCAGCCCCTTCCGGCCTCGGATAGCGACGTCCAGTGGAAGCTCTCCGTGATATGGTACATTGGGATCTGCACCTCTGTCCAGGATATCACATACCAATCTGTAGTGGCCTTGCTTGATTGCTGGTATAAGCAACTCATCGGAGGGCTCCGCACCAAGCTGCAACAGGACGTCAACGGCCTCACAGTGACTCATACGGATCGCACAGTCGAGTGCACTGGATAGTGATATCAAAGTTTGGTTTTTGGATCTGTTATAGGGATGCATCGGTACGAAGGTATTGACATTGACCCCGTACGAATGCAGCAGCCGAATAAGAGGAATGTTCCCATACAAAGCTGCTGCCTGAACGGGTGAGGTGGTCAATCCCTCATGCTCAAAAGGAATGAAACCAGACTCGAGCAACAACTCCGCAATCTCACAATTCTGAGTCCACGCTACGGCAACAAACGCCAAGTTGAGCCAGTATTGATCGGAAAAGAATGGGCTGCCGAAAGACAGCAATCGGTGGACGATTTCCTGATCTGCTACCAAGCATGCAGTAACCAGGGCACGCACAAATATTTCGTCTCGAAGTTCGTGGTCCGCGGTCGCACCAAGCAACATTTCTATGATATGTCTGTCATTCGAGATGATTGCAAGCTGCAATGCTGTCGTCTTGGAACAACCCTCCTTTGATCCTAGGTACAGCAATTCTCGCCGCCTGACCAAGAATGTATGTCCCAGCACATTGGAATGTGACAGGGCTCCAAGATAATGTCCTGGGATGGCTTCTGCATCGAGAATTTTATCCGTAACACCATTGCGTAGGAGTAGTTGAACTAGTGCGCTGCACCTTGATGCCGCTGCCTGACACAGAAGTGGAGGCAATCTGTCGTAGCAAAGATCGAGTCGTGCGCCGTAGCTTAAAAGGAGTTTGGCCAGAAGCACACTATTCGGATTTGATGGTCGTGAACATAGAATGTAAATCGGCGAAGGGACTCCGAGGTTCGGATTTGCGCCATGTAGTAGGAGTTTGGTAGCCACTTCCAAACTGCACGTTTCGGCCGCTATTTGTAAAGGTGTACATGAAAGAACATGCCATGAAAATTCCAGATTCGCCATGCCGCGGTACACAGTGGAATATAGGCCGATTTCATGTAAAATTAAGGCGTTCGGGTCCATGCGAGCTTCCAAAAGTGTAGAAACCAGCCATGCATCACCCAATCTTACTGCAACTGAGAATAACGTCTCCTTTATGGCGTATGTCGTCGGGTCCGTAGCATCAAAGAGCTGATTGAGAGCTTGAGTATTGGCCTGGTAAAGAGTGTTGAAAAGCGTGAGCAAACTGCGAGCTTGGATATCGCTCAGAGCGAGGGTCTTATTCGCCATCTGGAACAACAAGGTCTTAATGCCTCGCGTTAGTGCATGCCCAGGAAGGCCTTGGTCTCGAGTCTTTTCTTTTGCATTTTCAGGCAGGAGAGGCAAAATCTGAGATAGACGGGCCATCCAAGACGATGATGAGTTACGTAATGCTAGAGCGATGGCTTGGTCGGCTTGGGAAGAAATGTTGTCGATATGGAGGCGCATATTACACATGACTAATGTCCTCACTAACGCGCTCACCACATTGGGCAGTTGGGAAATGGCTATTCGGTTTGGATGATTAGCATCATACACTGTGATGGGACTGTAGAATCAGGATTCAGTACGCACTTAGACGAAAATTTGCGTCAAACTGTAGCCATGGCATGCTTTCTGGCCAAGTCACTCGCTGTTCAATTATTGGCGGAGTTGATACACGAACAAGATGCCCTTCTGGGCTACGCGGGCTGGGAACTACACAGTGTCTGTTAAGACAAATTGAATTGGAATGCGATAACAATATATGATGTGCTTACCAGTGCCGTATTTCTGTGCCAAAGATACTTGGCTATATCTCTGCACCATCTGCCTGACGCGAGCGTCTGAGAGCTGAATGCCATAGACAGACACCTGGGAACCTATTTGTTGCTTTTGTCTCTTTTGAACGACGTGAGCGACATATTCCGATGTCTGCCTTTTCATGTTTTTGGAAATCTTCCACTTCTTGAGCCTGTGTTCGTACTGGTGCTTCCTGAGTAGCTGATCGTTAATAAATGTACAAAATGGTGCGGATGCATTGGTGTTTACTTCATGTGGAAGCCATGATTTTGGGCCATTCGTTTTGCTACCTCGTTGAGTGTAAGGTTTTCGAAGAGATAGAGCGAGGTGATCTTTTCCCTGTGAAATTCCCATTGATCCGACATTGCCGCATGTTGCAGCTGCAGACGTAGAGAAGACTGAGTAACAAGAGGCGCGAAATGGTAAAGATTCTGCAATTTGTCAAAGTATACCGAGTTGGTAGGAAATGAGGCAAGCATGAAATTGAGGCCCTTGGGTAAGTTCAATTATAAAGGAATGTGGCGCTAAAGATGCTTAAGTATTGGTAGGTGGCCAGCACATAATGGAGGTGGTGGTGCAATACTTTTTTACCTGCAGAAGAGGGCTGCTAGAAGTTTGGTTGGGCAGTGTCAAAATCAGAATCAGCATGCTAGCGCCCGATTGCTTAGCGTTGCTGGAGTTGCACTGCCGGAAAGGCCATGGTCCACTCAAGCAATGTTACCCTATCGATGCCCCGATTAGATTATATTATACTCTATAGTTTTCCAGGTGTACGGCCATATTTCTTGGCGTGGCGTTATTAATTAATTATACGGCTATATTTAAATAAAATCGGGCCCGATCGTTTTGCTTTTTGCGGCTTTAAATTTTTTTTACGCTTTTAAAGCAGCTTTAAATTTAAATATATTAAATAAAATAATGCTTTCCGTTATTATTTATTAATCTGTATTAAATTTATATTTTTCGGTATTAATTTAATATTTTTATAGCGTTATAAAGGTGTATTTTTTTAATTTATTTTTACGCTATTTTTAGTTTTAAAGCGTAATTTTTTTAGCCGTAAAGCGTACCGTTTATTATATTCGGTTTATATTTATTAATAAATATATTTTTACGGTAATTTTCGGTAATTTTTCGTAAAATTATATTATTTTACGATTTAAATTCGATTTAAATAAAATTAAAATTTATTTTTAGGCGAATTAAAAAGGCTTTTATTTATTTTTTTAGTTTTTATATTTTTTTTTTTATAAACCTTTTTTTTTTTACGTTTTTTTTACGCTATATATTTTTTATTTATTTTATTTTTTTTTATAATAGCGATATTTGCCTTTTTTATTTATATATTATTACCGAAATATGCTTTTTGCCGGTTTTTTTAAATTAATATTAACGTTTAATTTATAATTACGAAATTTAAACCGTATATTTAGGCTTTAAAATATACGCAAAAAAAGGCTATTTATATTTATTATTATTATTTTTTTATATATAAAATAAAATTAAAAACTTTAAATTGCCTTTTAGCGTTATTTTTTATATTTTATTTTACCGTAAAAAAATCGCTTAAAGGCCGTGCCTAAAAAAAACTATTTTTTTATTTAGGTATAAATTTAGTTTATAGGCGATATAAAATTAAAAAAAGCGCCCGGAGCTTTTTAATATTTATTTTTAAGCGAATTTTATAATATTTTATATATTATACGGATTTAAATAAAGCTTATTAGCCGGATATTAAAGCGAAAAATAATTAAAAACGTTTTTCGTTATAAATTATATAAAAGCTATATTTTTAAGCGTAAAATTTTAAAAAATATTACTAAATAATAAATATATATAAAATTATATAAATATATTTCGGTAGTTATCGTTATTTAAAATATCCTTTTTTTTCCGATAAACCTTTTCTAAATAATATAGCGGCCTTTTAAGCGGTTATTTTATAAATTAAATTCGCTATATTTATTATTAATTTAATAAAAAATAAATCGGCTATTAAATTATTTATATATTTTTTATTTAACGTATTTTTAACCGAAAATAAAACGGCTATAATCGAGGCCGAACGGGATAAATAATTTTAATCCGATATTAATAAATATATTCGAATATAAAATATAATTATAAATTTTAAAAACGATAACGTTAATTAAATTAAAATTAATAATATTAAATTCGTTTTTTTAACGGTATATAAGTTTAAAAAGCTATTTTTTATAAAAAAAGCAAAAAATAAGGTTTAGTTTTTTTCGGGCTTAAATAAAACCGGGTCGGGCTATTTATATAATATTTAAAAAAATATTAAAGCTAAAATAAATAAAATAAAAAAATATAATTTTAGCGTAAAACGGCAGGTTTTAAACAAGGCCGAACGTTATATTATATAATAATCCGTTATAAATCGCGCTTTTATAAGCTTAACGTTAATAAAGGTAATTACGCTATTACGTAAATAAATAAAATTTATGGAATATAAATTAATATTAACGCTTAAAGCCGCGCTTTTAAATTTTTATATAATCCGTAAATATACGGCCGCGGAAGCGAAAAACGACGATAATAATAATTCGGAAGCTTTTATATTTATTAATAGCTTAAAACGCTTTAAAAAGCTAGCGAAATAATTTATTTTTTTCGATTTAACGAAAATATATAAACGAATAAATTAGGTTTAGGTTTTTTTTATTAATTAACGTTTTGCTATTTTTATTTATTTTTAACGTTTATTTTTATTTATATTAATATATTATATAATTAATATTATATTTTATTTATATTAATTATTAGTTTATATACTAATAAAGTCGTATTAATTTATAAACGGCTTTTTTATATTATATGTAGCCTAATATAGCGCGTTTAATCGCATATACGCTTTTTTCGTAAAATTTATAAATTTATAATTATTGTAAAATTTTTTTAATATTTATATTTATTTATTAATATTATAGCTTTATTAAAACTAACGCGTAAATAGCGTATATATAGCTATTACGGCCGCGATTAATTTTTTAAAAAAATTAAATTTAACGCAAAAAATAATCCGTATAAAAATTATAAAAAAAGCATTAATTATTATAGCTTATTTAATAATAAGCGGCGTTTTATTTTTTAATCGATTTTTTTCCGCGATTTTTCGATTTTAAAGCCTTTTAAATAAATCCGGCGGATATTTTCTATTATATAAAATCTTATTATTAATAAAGGCCTAAACGAATAAAGTCCGGTTACGCTAAAAAATAAATATAACCTAAAATTATTTAATTTTTTGCCTATAAGTTTAAATAAGCCCGATACCGATTAAAAAATATATATTAAAGCTAATATAGCTTTTTATAAATAAAATCCTAACTTAATATTTACGTTTTAGCGTTTAAACCTAACGGCTAAATATATTATATAGCTTTTTATTAATAATTTATTTACGGTTTTTAACGATAATATTAGCGTTATAACGTATTAATATAATTATTATAATACTTTTTATTAAAAGAATAAAATTATTAAGGCTAAACGTAGCGAAAATTTTAAATTTAGCAAATATTATAATAACGGTTAAATTATTTTTTAGCTATTTTTAAAACCGCTTAATTTTTTTAGGCGCTATTTTTCGGGCGTAACACCCGTAATAAAACGTTTTATAATATTTTATAATAATATAATATCGCTTATTTATTTATATTTATATAGCTTCCGGTATTATTTAAATTTAAAATACCCCGATTTAATAATAATAATTTTAGCTATTATTATATATAAAATGCCTTTTATTATAAAACCAGATTTTTATAATTATAAGCTAGGTTTAAGCCGACGTATTAGCAATTATATTTTTTAAACCCGAAAAAAGCCGTATCGGTGCGAATAAACCTAAACGATAGCCTTGATTTAAATATAATAGCCTAATTATTAAATTATTTTTATTACCGTAATCCGTATATAAAAATTTACGTAACGGCTTAAAAGCGTTTTATTTAGGTAATTATCGAATAACGCTATTAAAATTTAAACGGTAAGGCTTTATAGGTTATTTTAAATTTTAACTTTTATTTAATATTAAAAAAAAGCGTAAATCGCTAGCGGAAAAACCTCCCGGTTATTAACGATATTATTAGCTTTTTCCCGGATTATGCTAAACCCGAACGCTAACGTAAAATAATTTTAATAAAGCGTAATTTTAAAAAATTTACGTTAAAAAGGATTTTTATAAAATATTTATTATATATACCGTTTATATACGTTTTAATATAACCGAATAAAAGCAAAAGGTTCGAAATAAGCTTAAATAAGCCTAGGCCGTTAAAAAAAATAAAAAATATAATAATTATATAAAAATAATTCCGATATTATTTTTATTATCGGAAAAACGGCTAATTAATCCTATTTGCGTTTAAAAGGCTATTTTAATAATTTATTATTAATATTTAGGTTATTACGGAGCAAAACGCTTTTTAATATATTAGGAATAATTAAAATAAAATCTGTATTAATTTTTATAATAGTTTTAAAAATGCTTTCGTATCCGATTACCATAATTTAAGCAATTTAAGTATTAAAAGCATTTATTTGCCTATATTTTATATCGGAAATTTATATAATATATACCGCTATTATTAAAATTTTATATTTATAACGCGCTATTTAAATAAGCTTATATTTTTCGTTATTTTTACCGCTAATCCGAATTAACTAAAAATAAAGCGTAAATTATTTTTAAAATAAACCGTTAACGATCGGCCGGATATTAGCGTTTACGTTTTCGATTTAAAGCGTAAAAAATTATTATAGGATATTATTAAGCTAAATTATTTCGGTAAATACGTTAGGTATATATAAATTATCGAATATTAAAAGCGTAATTTATTTTATATATATTTATTAATTTTTTTAAAGCTTATAAATCGCGATCGGCTATTAAACCCCGTAAATATTAATAAAATAATTTAAGCAAAAATTCCCGGTTTTAATATTAATTTTAATAGCGCTTTTCGCAAAATCGTTTTTAAATTTATAATTTACGGTTTTTATTTTATTAAAAAATATAAAAACCTAAATACCGTCGTTTGTGCTTTTTTAATATAATAAATAATAAATATTTTAAAAAAATTTTAAAAGCTTATTTTTCGGAAATTATAATTTACGAAAATAGCTATTTTATATATTAGCGACGCTTTATAAAAATATTCCGGGCTTAAATAATAATATAAAAGGCCTAAAAAGCGTCGATAATCGCTAAATAATATTTTATAACTTATATTTAAACCGAAAATATTAAGCGTATATTAATATTAAAATATATATTATTATAAAAACCGTAAAATATATATATAAATATATATATAAAAAATTTAATTAGGTTATAATAAAATTTAGCGAAAATTTATAAGCAAAAAATAAAATTACGGATTATATTTTTAATAGGTATATTAAGCCGTATAAAGCTTATTAGCGTTTATTAAAATTTTTTATATATAATTTA